GGTTTCAAACGATACAAGGCACTATGGTATGACGCAATTGCATTAGATGTGCGTGAAGGATGCTTGCAAAGAGCATCACTCAAAACAGTCCGACAGTTAAAAATCATACTGGAAATGGTGGGCTGTAACCACCATTGAAGCCAGCGACGCACATTAGGGAACTCCCTGATAATCGACTCCGCAGTCTCAACGAATACTTCTTCAACAGTTGTCTTCAACAATTTGTAAGTCAAAGAGACAAACTGGTTTGACTTCTCCGCAGGAACAAGTGAGTGGTTGCAGACAGCCCGTTGAACAGATTGCTTCCAATGCATATAGCAGCCCTTCAACAAGCATGTAGGCAAAATACCTGAGTCTGGGAAAGAAGAGTTAAAGGCCTGATAGAATCCTTCGCGCTGTGCCTGAGAAAAGTCCATAATCATTCCCAAAAAATTATCATCTTTAATTGCGAACTTCTCAAACAAAGCTTTGAAATAAACAGCAAATTGTTGGGCATCAAGCTTCTTCATGATAGCCTGGAAGATGACTACGTGTTTTTTCATCTCAGGCACAAAGATTACTGTCGAGCAAAGATAAAAACCGTTGGGAACGGCCTTAAAGGTTACGTCCGTAATCATGGGATAATTCTCAAATGGCAATTTAGCCATTGCCATTTCAGGGCAAGAGAAAATGATACAGAACTTCGAGGCTACCAATTCCGCTGAGAGGATGTATCCAGGGTACTCATCTTCAATCTTGGAAAATTCCTCCAACAAATCTGTTCCTTTGACGAGAACCAAGCCATTTCTAATTTTGGCTACTCGGAGTTCATGCTATGTTCTCTCTCTTTTGAGGTGAACAGGATTGATATCTTCGACATCTTCTAAAATATCATCAGATCTCATACTGATTCCAGCAATAACGCCGCCTGGTGTTGCAGCTGGGTTCTTCAAAATGATCTGGTCGACCGTTTTTTGTTGATCGTTGGTCCGATGTTTTTGTACATAGGAAGAGTGCAGGTGTTCGATCTTCTTAAATTTATTTACTTTATGGCTCATAGTACACTGGGATCAAATAAAACTGAAGTAATACTCCACGGTAACTGCGCATTGTTGCAGTGAATACACTTCTTGATCGCAATCGATTTCTGTTCAACAGAGGGTCTTAATTGCTTTTCGTACAATGCACAAGCACTATTATTACACATAATAGATCCTTGACATTTCTTGACAACTCGATGGTTGTTAACATGATCGCTATCCTTTAAAGCAACTTTTTTATTTTTGTTGGGAAAATAAGAGTGGACAGTCTTCATTACCCACCCAATGTTGAAGTCGACATCGACAAACTTATTTGCATACTCCGAGAAAAGTGCAGGGGAAGTCTCAACAACGTTGTTGAAAGGGAATTGTGTTTTAAAAAACGTTACTTTTGACATGTTTATTAAAAGGTAAAAAAAGAGGTAATTTTTCTTTTTTTGTAAAATCGGCTAAGTCATTTAGTAGCTTAAGCATATCCGGTTAAACTAAATCCCGCGAAATTACAACATTTTTTTTGCAACATTTTTCCCCACCACCGTTTGATAGCTGGATCATGGCACCCGCCGCTTTGCCTATTGCGGAACGACATGCACTTGAGAATACAGCCTTCATCTGTACAGATCATTTGCTGTCTGCAATGAAAATGCTTCCTGCTATTGTTGAAGATCTTTTGTTGTTGGAGAAAGGTGTAGAGATGTTTTTGCCTGGTGGGGAGGCTGTCGTTGTCGTTGCTCCTATGCAACTTATCACTGCTGATAATGCGCGTCATTCGGAGCTTACCTCTAATCGCGATGCTATTTCAAAGATGCCATGCCGAAAGTGTGATTGGGAATTAATATCCCTAGCTCGACTTGACTGCAGTGATTATCGTTGTGACCCTCGCTCTGAAAACGTGTTTGCAGATATGTACGCGCGGTATTTGGCTTCTGGCGGTGACAAGACTTTGTTGGTAAATGTCGATTCTGGCTACAAACTTGTTGCTGGTCAGGCTCTGGTAGACCTTCAATCGTTCGATACGATGTTCGATTGTCCAATTGAGCTCCTTCATACGAAAATGCTTGGTGTCGGCAAAGCCTTGGTCAAAAAATTGTTGCAAGACCATCTGAATCCAACCAAGAAAAGTATCCTCGAAACAAGATTGCATGGTTACGTTAGCAAAGGGCTTACCCGAAAGCTGCGTTCATCATTGCGTTTTCATAGAATTTTCGTAGGTAGGGATTACAAAATCCTCGTTCAGCAAGTACCAATTCTGTTGAATCAATTGATCTGTTCTGGTGAAATTCGACATGATGACGGTGTTCTCTTGATCAAGACCTGCTTTAAAACTTTGGGCAGGTTAGCTTCGCTTTCTTATATCAGCAAAATCAAGTACGAGATGTCTAGATCCTTCCATGCTCTTTTTGATGGCAGTGAACGCGTTATTAGACAATTCAAATGGATAATCTGTTTCCTTTACACAGTACTTGAAATGAAGGTTGTACCTTGGAGAAATCAAGTAAAAAACATCTTTGGCAATGTTAATACAGATGCATCTCATCAATTGGATGAAAAGCAGCCGACGTAAAAGAGACTATATCACCGGAAACACTACGAAGATTAATGTTGTAGTCGTTATCTGCGTAATATGATGAAATGATAAATAAAGGATAACATACGCAAACACTATCATACTTACATAGCTTCACTATCGTCTTTTTTCAACAAACTATCCATTGATCTCAACAAAGCTTTTCCATCCTAAAAATACTTACCATGGGTCCCCTCGCCAACAATCCCGTCATTATTTTTTACATCGCCTGTATGCTTTCCCTTTGTCAAACAAACTCTGCAGCCATATGTTGAACAATGACCACCAAAATTCATCAACTCGCTACATTGAACACCATCACCAGAAACATACATAGTTGTTACTTAACTAATTGCAACTTGTTGTCCGTTTCGCTTGACCAGAAGAGGCTTGGAGTGGAATTCAGATAATTCTTTGATAATTGGTCGCAAATACGAGTTAAGATTGACCTCCGACTTTGCCAAAAACAATACCGATTTGAAAAGTATTTTCTCGAGTAAAACGCTCTGATAATGTAAGTATACCTCAATTTTGCTGGAGTCGTTTTTACTTACTTGCGAAATATCGTAGTTTAAAATTACACAATGGATCATTGTCATCTTCGTGCTCGAAACATTGCTGCGAAAGCCATTAATGTTAATTTTTAAAGCAATGTCATACTTATTGTCAAAATGCGAGTTATTTACAAATTTCGCATAGAGCTCTCCATCAAAAGTATCCCTGTAAAATATTTCCTGCGATGGCTGCAAAATTTCTGAGTTGGGATGTTCTTCAAATCGGTATGCTATTCTTTCCCTTACATCATTACAAGCCAAAAGCGTGGACGATTTGGCTGGGATATTTATGGTCTTTAGGTCTTTCTTGATATTTCTAGAACAATCACAAATGGGACAAGAAATAAGATCAACATCCTTTATAGCGTCATACAAGTAACATCCATTAGTAGCACAAATTTCATGCTTGTTGACAAGATTCATCGGTACCACACGTTTGATGAGTTTATAGCAAGCTTCAAGTCCAAGTAACTTGCTCAATTTGTCTATGGTAAAATATTTAGCACTGTCAATAAATTGTATTCAGTATTATTGAAGTTCTTATATTTACCGATTTTTTTATCAGACGACATGTTATTAAATAACTTTATCAGTTGCCTATGACCTTCGCAACAAATATTTCTCTCTTTACAAATATCTGAAAGGCGGATACTGTATTCTTGAGCTGGACTAAAGGGATTGGATGGAATAAAAACATCGCCCAGAGTATAAATAGACTCGTCGTCTTCACAACAAGTGTGAATATTTTTAGAAACGTCTTAAAATGTGGGCCATGTAAGTATCATCTTCTTCATTTAATTATTTTATTATACATACCTTCATTATTTTCACTAAACAAATCTATCTCCATTGATCAAAATCCAGCAGTATCTACGTAATCATTCTAGTCGGTGAAAAATGCATCTTCAAACGGTTTATCATGCTCTTCATGAACCCACTTATTTAGTCTAACCCTTCAAAGTTGAGATAGCTAGGAGGACTTTCGCGGGGAGCATACTTAGACATATTATGGGTATCTGTTGGAACAGTTGAAAATTCAACTTGAGCAAGACTTTCAAAATACCTGGACAACCATTTGAAAAGCACAGCCGTAGGAGCATTAGTTCAAGCCTTTTATATTTTCTTTGACTAGTGTTGTTTCGAGGCGTTTGCATTGTAAATATGGTGGTGGTCTAATTTTTCGGTCGATTTTCCTCATCCTTTTATATCGAAAAATAGACGCTTTGCCTCGGGCTTGTTCTATATTAGGTGATTTGTCACTTTTAAGCACGCATAACGAGCTATCACTCATAATAATTTGACGTAGTTACGGGACGTAGTTACCTCCTATAAAACGTTTGGTATAAAAACAGTACTCTTTGACATTACAAACAAGATTACATTTGTGTATAACGACAAGATTCTTTTTTTTTGTCAATCGGAATGACCATCTCAAGTATTCCCATGTAAGTTAGTAACATACCCAGTGCATTGCTTACCAGCCTTTTAACATCTCTTTATTTTATAACACGTTATCACTTTCAATAATTATGAGTAATCCTTCGCTGCAAAGTTTCCGGTTAATACGTTGCAGAATTATGCCAAGCCTGTCAAATTGCCTAATTTGTGATGGTAGCCGGTTTTCATTTTTATCTATTTGGGACAGATTACCGAATTGGAAAGTATAAATGCATTTTAATATTTTTTTTAACTACATCTTTTTATCATCTCTTTAGAAAACTACTTAAACTATGCTTGATACCAACATCTATGACTACCGAATCTCTTCTACACAATGATTAGATTCTTCCTTTGATAGTCTCTTTAACTCTGCCTCCAGCTCCTCTTGTAGCTGAAGTGCAATCTCTTAAGCATGAAGTTATGGAAATGAAGAACACCATTACAGAGTTAAAAGAAATGATTAAACACATGGCTGGTCACTCACGGGTTGCTGGTAAGATAATTTTAAAGAAAGAAATACCTCATACAGTGATAATTCGGTTCCAAGGTATGTCCGGTTCTACTGATCAAGAAGGCAACACGGAATTAAGAAACCTACTCAGCAGTATCTACACCGAGGAGAAGAAAAAGGGTTTGTTGAAGAACCCCAATCATTTAGGCCAACGTGTTAAAGCTAAACCCGTAGGTGTCTCTGCAAAGAACCAGGTCATTGAGGCCTCGGGAACCTACTTCGAAAGCGACCACAATATATTGGAAGGTGGTCCTGTTTCAATGAATGACTGCGAACTGGAACGTCGATACGATTTGTCTTACACCGCGATGAAAAATTTCGTAACCGTTTACGTCCTTCCTCAGTTTACGCTGTATTCAGGTTTTACTTACATGAAGATCAGGTTTGAACAAAGGGAATTGTTCGCATTGATCGCTGATGATCATTTTTCTCTTACCTCGGAGCTGATAACTGTCTGCCTCTCTTTGCTTTTTCCAAAAGTTGGGGGTCTAAAAACCTTTTGGTTGCTGCAGTCAGAAACCGCGTAAAGTCAATTCTTATGACCAATGTAAATACTGCAATTGAAAATGTAAAGTTGGCATTGAACTAATGTATAATTTTTTAGGCACAACTGCTTCCAGCCTGACACGCAAAACAAAACCAAGAATGATTCAATCTTTAAAGGCGGGTTGTTCATTTAAACAAGGAAGTGTATCAGAAAAGAGGAGATGATTACGAAATATATCAGATGAAATGAAATTTTTTGAGCTACATTTAGAGAAAAATGTGAAAAGAAAAGAAAATACGAAATAAACAATGACAAAGGTTATATCGTTTATGAGGAAAATAACACACTTCAGAAATAATGACATAAACATTTATTTTTATTGGAGGCAAAAATAGATTAAAAATATTAAGCTAATAGGAAATAAGTGATCCTTTTTTTATTGGAGGCAAAAATAGACTGAAAATATTAAGGTACTATGAAATAAGTGGTCCTTTTTTTATTGCGCGACTCTCCTGGGTTTTAAAGATGTTTTAGCCGTTCTGGTTTTGCAATAGATATATGCTTTTTTTCTCGACTTGTCCTAAACAAAGACTAAACGTTAGAATTTTTTCCACGTAACGTTGTTCCATATCCTTGAATCGGAAACGCGAGTATTCTATCTAAATTTTAGTATTACGAGACACGTATTTATTATATCATGTACGGGTTTCAGTAAAAGATGCATAGTTGTTTGTTAAATCTAATTGGCATCAAAAAACAATAGTGGTAGATGATCATTTATTTATTATTTCTATAATAAAAAAATACGAACGCAAATATCGAGGCTTGTATATTAGGTTGTAGAAAGTAGGTCCGAATTTATTCATACACAATATCCTTATACACTATATTAACTTCATAGCTATTTTAATATGTTAGTAAATTATCTATTTATTTTAATATTTGTTCCATTCTCCTTACGTGTAGCTAATTCAGGGAAGAAAATTTTAGTATTAAATTATTTTGCTTATAACTCCTTATTAGATATGAGATGATTCTTTCCGCGATCGGTGATATAGTAACTCAGTGGCAGAGAATTATTTATCTAACTGTCATAATTAAGCCAGTCATGCAACCCATAATATAGAAGTATGTAATTCTACCAGGAGACGTTGTATAGCAGTATAAAAAATTATACTGATATGCAACATCTCAAGTTATTTAAACTTCATGTTATATTTGACTAAACAGTTTACTTATCTATTCGTAAGTTGATTGTACCGAAATACACCAGGTTAGTCATAGCTTATGGAAATCATCATAAAGAACTTCAAGCATGGACAGTTCGAGGATAAAAATTAAGTTGCAAAGCTGTTTACAGAAAAAGTTTAAGCTTAATTGTGACATGAAGTGTAACATATCCATGCAACTATTCATTCCTCACATTAAAAAATATTTTGTTTCGCGTTCGGCATGAGGTTCTATGGTACATTCTGGTACGTGTAATGTAACGTTTTGTGTGCCATAACCACCTAAAGAATACATAGCTTAACGTGGAGGACCAGTAACATAATAACTAATCGTACAATCAGCATCCTATCTACCAATTCGCGTGATTAGTGACTGATCAACTCCATCAAAATTGCACATACGAGCTCCAGCCCCAAAAACCATTTGCTTAACTTTGGAAGATCCAATGTTACAAGCCATGAGGGCCTTCTCCTTTGCTTTGTGTTGGGTATATTATGACTATTGCTTCGTGCAAACAGCACTCGTCCTCAAACACTTGTTGAAATATCAGCTTTCGGAATTGTTGAAATCGGGAAACGGCTTACAATCCGCATAAAACATTCCAAAGAAATGCAAGGCAGTTACCACGAACGGACAAATTCAAATGTCTACATTTCTATTACATGCACCAGTAATCAATCCACCAGAGTTATTGGTCTTGCCATTTTTCATCACCAGAAACGGGCAGGGTATTCTTGTTCAAATTGACAACTTGAAGATCAGGAAGCTCGGAGCCTCTGTCTGTACCACCATGAAGAAGGCAGAAATGGGACAACCTCAACGCAACGCGATTATAAAGATTTTGGAACGTTTTTGCCCAACAACAATTTCATCAGCAGAAGTGACACCTTCCATCAAAGTATTTCAACTTCGGACCTTACAAGTAAACGTATCAGCATTTTTTTCTTTCGATCTGCTTGTCTTTGAAATAGTGTTTTGGATGGGGGTAAAATATAAATTAGGGTACAGTGCATCTATTTTACAATGAACAATTTTTGGCTCCGATTTAAAAAATAAAAATAAAAACTGTATCTCCTCGATGAATTCAACAGATATCCAAAATCCGGCTCTATTACATTCTTTATTAGAGAATTCTCCACAAACTAACAGAACCGGATTTTTTTTTTCACACAAAATTGGCCATTTACAGTGAGGAGAGCCAAATATGTCTGCGTTGTTTTTACAGTGTAAAATTATAAATTTGTGCTAGCTTTCTCCGGCTAAATAAATTGCCGCCCGAGAGGTAAAAATACGATTAATTTTTTTTTTCGTAAATCTAATTCTGACCAATCACCAGAGCAACCGATTTTGGCGGAAGGTACCAGAAACTTTGACATTTGTGTAACATAATCTTATACTTCTATGCCTTAATCAAGGAGACAAGGACGCCATCTTCAAAAAATGCGCAAACATCGCAGTATAGACGATAAACCAACAGTAGAAATAATCAGTGATGAGCCTCAAATTATACCCTTGGAGCAAGATAAAAAGGAAAATGGTAATAAAGTTGTAACAGTTATTTTTGTTATTACAGGTATCTAATAAATATTCGCTTCGTTTTAACCTACAGCTTTTGAAAATATTAACGAAGATCAAGCAACGTCTTTGTACGGTTGTGGATTTGATGTGTGTGATAGACATAAGAGAAGAAAACTTCAAAAGAACAGAGAGATGGCTAAGGGAAGTACATCTATTCTCAGATTTTTTAAACCAATCGAGGAAACAACTCCAGAAAAAACTAAAATGGAAAAGATTGCCGAAGCTCTTGTTATTTTAGATACGGAATTGGCACCAACAATTAATGCTCGCTCTGAGCAACAAAAAAATGGTGTTTGTGAAAACTCTAAGTATCAAGCTGTCCATCTGTACATGTCACTTCGCTTAAAAGGGTTGAAAAAGACAGAAGCATCTGAATGTGCAGCAAACGTATTTCGGTACAGCAAAGCTACTATTTACCGTAGCCTTGTCATAAGAAAATACGCAGATGAATATTTGGAAACTAAAAAAATCAGCAAAGGAATGCAAGGATTGAATAGCAAGAGAGTATCAATTCTTGTCGATAATCATATCAAAAGAAAAATCGTTGATTGGTTTCGCGCTGTACCTCGTAGCCAAAGAAGTATTCCCGGCATACAAAATCAGTTGCGTATAAATATCCTTCCCGATATAGATGTCGATTCTGTGGATGCCAGCAGCCTTTTGTCTGCCGAATGTATTCGCAAAAAGTCAATTCAATGGGGTTTTAGCTTTAAGCCTATCGGTAATATTTCGACATAGCATTGGTAACCATTTGTAATAATTCTGCTTTTGTATGTAGGTCGTACCGTATACTTTGATGAACACGAGAGAGAAGACGTCATCGAGTATCGTCAGATTTGGGCCAAGCGAATGATGGGTTATCTGGAACTGTCCCAGCAGTATGATCCTAATGATGTTAGTGTAGAAGTTTCGTTGGTGTTGCCAGTAGGCAAAAATAACATGTCTTTGTTACACATGATGAGAGCTCGTTCTATGCCAGCGATTACCAAAAACAAGCATGGCTAGAAAATGATGAGAGCTACTGTCTGCCTAAATCTCAGGGCAGATCAATCATGATCTCAGAGTTTCATTGCAAGTGCCATGGTACCATGAGGGCCACAATTGATAACAAGACAATGACTTCAAGAAAGATTTTTTTTTCCGGTTGCAGAAAGTGAGTGCTATTGGACTAGTTCTCACATGCTGGAACAGTTGCAAGACGTTATTGTGATCTTTGCGTTCTTGCATAAAGATAGTATCGGCCTGTTCTCGTTCGCCCAAAGCAGCAACCACAAGTCCTTTGCTTTCGATGCTTCGGTCGCCAACAGAATGAACATGCTTCCCCATGAAGTAGGTAAAGATGAGGTTCGAGTAAGAAATGGTGAGTATACCGGATAGTCTGCCGCAGGTGAAGAAGCTTCCAAAATCCAGGATTTATGTCGAAAGAGATAACAATTTTGTTGAAATTCAAAAATTACACAACTCAAAGTTGGATGCTGATTTAAAACGACAAACGATTGTAGCGCTTATTAGAAAAAAGCATCCGGTAAGTTACTTGAGGAATACCAATTAGAGTATTTTTTTTAACATTCTGATATTTTTTACGCCAGAAAAACAAAATGAAGGTTTATTTTCAGGGCCTCAAATTAATCCTTCAAGAGCGAGGACTATACAGTGGCCAAATTAACGACTGCCATAACATCGCCATTGCTGATCATACGTGTTGTGCAAACCATCCTGTTAGTAGCCAACCCAATTTTTTGAAGCAAAAATCAATTTTGGAAGGAGTCATTGGCAATGCAGGCCATATCTTTGAACTGTACCCCAGATTCCATTGCGAAACAAATCCGATCGAACGATTTTGGGGGCCACTAAGAAAGTTGCAAGACAAAATTGCAACTACAACTTCAAGTTCCTCGACAATAATATCAACATGTTTCTGGATAGTGCTCCTCCTCCTGGAGAGCCACCTCTTTTAATTAGAAGATACTGGAACAAAAGCTTCCGTTATATCGAAGCTCACAGCCAAGGTAAAGATGCAAAAGACGTCTTCGTCATTGTCAAAGAATGAAGCTTACAGCAAAGGTAAAGATGCAAAAGACGCCTTCGTCATTGTCAAATATTTTTCTAAATTGCAAACATCACATCGCAAGCTTCGGTTCGACCAATAAAAAAATTACCCTACAATCACGAAATAAATTACGAACTTCTTAAAAAATAAATACATAAGGACATGAGAAATGAACATTTTAAAATGAAATGAGCCAAAAAAAAAAAAATCTGCATTTGATTTCGTTACCGCCTCTTTTTCTTCTACATGTACTGGTATGTTTATGCGTTTGTCTGGTTTTGATGAGGTTATCCCAGGTAGTTTCTGTACTTTTAGACTCCACATCATGATGAGGGGTACCATCCCAAATTTTGCTGCAAGTAATTA